GTTTGTGGGAGAGAGTCCTTAGACATATAATCAGACAGGATTTCCCCCAAGTTTACCCTTATAGGTCATAGACCTAAAGAACCAGGACAAGTCTGAGTATATGCAACCTCATTCAGAAGGAAGAGATACTTTATTTCACCTACTTACTTAGCCTCAAGAGGAGTAGAGATTTGTTTGAGGCTTTTAGGATGGCCTTTAGGCTTGTTCATTGAGAACACAAAGTTGTAACACCGTTACCCTGATTGTTCACTGCCTCATGCAAGGATATACTCCGACGCCTGGCACCCCATTGCTTAAACACTTGGCATTCGTTGAAGACGACTATGGGATATGTGATTGATAGGAGAGTTTAACTGAGAGTCAGAATACAAGGCTTTAGTATCAACTCTTATATGTTTAAATATCTTTGTGTTCAGTATTTTGTTGCACTATTCTTCTTCTTAAGTAATTCATTTATAAATGGGAAACCTTATTGCCTTGGTGTTCTTTTTAAAAGAATTTAAATCCCAAATATTATTTGAGCCAATTTAGTTACATAGGGACAATATTACTATTTAAAAATAGTTGAAATTAATTATAATAAATTACATTAATTTAATGTCAGGAAATAATATAGCAGATTTTGTAATATAGTATATTGTAGTATAATTTAATGGATATATTTTGGTGGATAATATTGTTACTGTCTAGTAAACAGAAGTTTCATATGCTTCCTAGATTCCTCTTTTCTTTGGTCATTTTCCATTTAAAGAAAAGGCTAAGTGAAAACTTGCTTAGTGTATGAAATCTGACAAGATTATGTTTCTTGGCTCTAGGATAATGAACTAATGTTATTTTATTCATTAAGGCCCTAAGGACTGAAAAAAAACAGTCTAAAGAATCAATCCCAGGTTTTTGTGTTAATACTGAAAAATACTATTATTAAAATAATAGGGGAGGGGCCGGCCCCGTGGCTTAGCGGTTGAGTGCGCGCGCTCCGCTGCTGGCGGCCTGGGTTCGGATCCCGGGCGTGCACCGACGCACCGCTTCTCCGGCCATGCTGAGGCCGCGTCCCACATACAGCAACTAGAAGGATGTGCAACTATGACGTACAACAATCTACTGGGGCTTTGGAGGGAAAAAAATAAATAAATAAAATAATAGGGGAAAGATTATTTTTACAAAAGTAATTAAATAGTGAAAACAAATTTTATACATATTCCCAATCTTCATCAATACAGTGAAACATTACCTTCAAGCAAATATTTAGTTAAAAAAGCAAAAACATCAAAAGGCAAGAAATTAACGTGTTATGTTTCTTGTTGTAACTAACTTTACCATAGTGCACGTGCCATATTAATTAAAGTTTGCTTTGAGTTCAAATGCTATTGAACAAATTGAGAAATAAAGCAAAGGAAGAAAAGTTTCAAAACCGCTATTGCACAGTTCCTAGAAAGTTATTCTTTTATACCTCATGGTTAGGTATAAAGGGAATTTATCATTGAGGTTTCAGAAGGCATTTACCTCCAAAGACTTTTTTTACTAGCACTTTTTGGAAAACCAGCTGCATTTATAGAGAGAGGAAATTGCCTTCATTTCCATGTAGCCTTTTTGGGAGTACTTGGAGATCTCATCTAATTCTTCCTTATGTGATTGACTTTCAGATATGCCACTTCACCCCAGTTTATCTCACGGAGTAGTTTACTCTAGCTATTTCATGTAGATATCTCATCTAAAATTTTAATTTTAAGAGCATCTGTTACTTCCTTCCCAAAATTTTACCACCCAATTGCTCACTATTATCCTAAGAAATACAGCTTATGTCTTTGTATGTTTTTAGCTTTACTCTTTTTTAAAATTGAAATATAATTTGTATATGATATCCTATTAGTTTCAGGTGTACATCATACTGATGTGATATTTATATACATTACAAAATGATCACATAAGTCTAGTTACCATCTGTCACCATACAAAGTTATTACAATATTATTGACTATATTCCTTATGCTGTACATTACATCCCCAATGACTTATTTATTTTATAACTGGAAGTTTGCACCTCTTAAACCCCTTCACCTATTTCACCTGCCCCCACCAACCCCTCCCCCCTCTGGTAACCACCAGTTTGTTTGGCTTTACTCTTAACACAATAGCTCCAAAGATTTTGTACTTATTTTTAATAACTCTAAATTACAAGTCTCCTTAGAGGTTAAGTGAAAACTGTCTTGTTACAACTTATTATTTTCAATATTAACTGAACTGAGATAGAATATTACTTCAAAGAAAAAAGGTTAAGACTTTTATGACCACATTTTCCTGGTATTGCCTCTATCATTATCTATTTAATGATAGCCATACATGTACTCCATAATTTTGCAGGCATCTTCAGTGCCAAAATTGATACTGAAATTAAGAATACCTATTTAATATCTCTCCTGTAAGGTGTGCTAGGATATTACTTCATAGATATCTAAATTAAGGTAATAGGTTTAAATTAGTAAAAGTGCGTAATAAAAGACAGTAGGGATTCATTGAAAATTAATTTTTAGGGTTGCTAAAGCTCTTGAGACCATGGAATAAGTGCCAAACTTTGGCTCATTCAGTAGTCAAGGCTGGTGGAATAGCATATGGTTGAGTATCAGTAGTCCTGTGTTCTAAATCCAGTTTTAACCTAGACAAACGGAATTATTTGAAGAACTTAGGTTACTTTTGCTTCAAATCTGTTTTCCCATCTGTTAAAGTGGTAACAGAATTTAATGTCATTTGAAAGTTGAGTGATAAGGTTTTTAAATTTCTCTACACTAGGTACCATATGTATTCTACAAATTATGTAAGTTGAGCAAGAAATGTACCTCTTTATTTGTGAAAAAAATAGGAATAAGTCTAGAGTTGGAGGCTTTTATTTGCTATGGGAGAATGAGAATTCTGACGGATTCTCCTAGGTTGTTTCCTGCCTACTAATTCTAGAAGTTTTAGTAGATGTTAAATCATGTTGCCATTGTGTTCCCCCCTCCCTGCTTCCTAACATCCTCTCCCTGTAAAAAGTAAATACACACATAACGTCATCAAAGACTGTCAGCATACACCTCTTCTCTCTGTCTCTCTGTCTCTGTCTCTGTCTCTCTTTTTTTTTAACTTCTCTGGGGCTTAATGTTATCCAGCTGCTGGTTGTGAGTACAAACATTGCCTTCTCTGTTTTATGGATATTGTATCTGGTCATTGAATTACAGATAATACATTGAGCAAGATACAGTGAATACTCAAAGAAAGGAATTTCCATCCTTAGATATCCAAGCTAAATCCCTTACCCTACCAGTTAAACGTTCTTTTATGTGGCAAGATCATATCTTTAGAAATGTTTTAAAGTGTTATATTTTTGTTATATTATTTTGTAATCAATCTCATTGTTCGCCCTGTGCCTTAGATTTGTAGTAATTGCTACTGAGAACACGGGGAGAGGCATTAAGCTTCTTTGCCTAGTATGTTTGTGAGTGCTTTCCTCTTGTATGAATTGAGGAAGCCGACTAAAGGCAGACTGGCTTCTGAAGGCGGTGGTGGATCATATATTTCAAAGAGATGGCTGTAGTTCAGTTTCAATATGTATCATTTATCTATCTATTGCAATATAACATACCTTTAAATTAAGTTTCTGAGTCGTCCAAAATACCTGTCTTGTTCATGTAAAACAGCCTTATTTTCTAGAAGCTCAAAAGATGATTTTGAGCTCTCAATTATATCAAAGTATGCATTAAACATTCAGCATGTGAACAAAAGTAGAGAAGATAACTTTTTTCTGGCGAATATACCATCCTCATAAGATAGGATTGTTTATCCTCACCCCACGAGTGAAAATGTGATTCAGTGTCTGAATAATGCCCAAGTTAAGAACATTACATAAGCTTGAATATAATAAATTAAAACTTACAATTGAATTTATGTTAAATATTCACTAATCTTTCTTTATAGATATGATTTATTAATTTATATTAAATTTGAAGGTCACTAAGACTTAAATATATATTCATTTAATAAATACGAACGGTAAATTGAATTTATTTAATAAATGTATAATACCATCAATTAATAAAAAATTGTTGAAATAATGAAAATGTAATTTGCTAGATTTCAATTGAAGATAAATATATACAATGTCCAGTGATAGTAGATGGTTCGAGGTTACTTGACTTAATAACAAACAGGATCGAGATGAGTCAGAGCATCTTCACTAGGAGATGATGGACACGTTCTCTGTAGGTGTCTGTTCGTGGCTGAGAGTAGTTGCTGTGTTAATGTAGCTGTACCCTTCATCTCTCCCAGCAGAGGAGAAACAGTTGTTGTCTATTTACAATTGGTGGCTTTCTCCTTATTTCTGGTGGAATAAGTTTCTTCTATTCATAAGATTTCATTATTTTTAGTAACAAAGGAAGTTCACTTAGTGGAAAGCAGCCTGCCTTATACCATAAATTGGTTGAGATTATCTTGAAGTGTCCTGAAAATTTGGGGGGAATACATTTCTATAATTTGCAGATGAAATTTTTTACATCATTATTATTTCTAGTCAGGTAATTAAAATTATTTTAATATATTTCAATATGAACCAAATTAACACATAAAAAGTTAATTTACAGCTATATTAGATTAAGGAAACATACCTTTGAAGTGTGTGAATGCAGATCAACAAACAAGTTAATTATATTGAAATCAAAGTTACCCTGAATTAAATATCCTAAGATTTTGTCTAAATAAATTACGCTTGTGTTCAGTTTTGAGCTCTAGACTTTGGACTAATGCCAAGTACAGGTGCAAGTTTGCTGTATCACTTGGTTTTTATTATTTTCTTTTAAAATGCAGTATTATACAAATTGGATTATTGATATACACTAAAACAAAATTTTGTCAGAAAAAGCTTGTTTTTCACAAATCAAACCTCATATTTTATTCATTGGTAAATATTACTAAAATTTACAAAAGTTCTATTTGCTCTCATGTTCCTATTTTCACTTTTTTTGCATACCCAGCCTGTGGCCGTGGGTTCTACAAATCTTCATCTCAAGATCTTCAGTGCTCTCGTTGTCCTACTCACAGTTTTTCTGATAAAGAAGGCTCCTCAAGATGTGACTGTGAGGATGGGTATTACAGGGCTCCATCTGACCCCCCGTATGTTGCGTGCACAAGTAAGTTCATAATAGTAAACAAAGAGGGACTTTCAGATCCTTTTTACTCATTCTACTATTGTGACATCGTTGAGATAGGCATTGAATTTGTGAATGCATTCTTAATTATTATTGAATATTTAAAAATTTTCCATGAACCGATAAGGCTAACCAATAATATAAAATAGATACGTCCTACATTATCTTCAGTGTCATTTCCATGTCTGCAAAATCAGGATGCATTTTATTATATTTTTCACATGTATCTAATATGAATCATAAATAAAATGTAAAAGTTATTTGAGTCTTACATGGATATGAAATGTGATTAAAAAGTAATAGTTTCTGAATTAAAATTCCGTCACTAAATAGGGCAAATCTCACGTCTTGGTGCTTCAATTAAAGAATGTTTGAGAGACTCAAATCCAAAGCCAATCCCAGACATTTCTGTAAATCATTCTCTCACACTGAGAATGAATAGATGTATTCTCTGTTATATGATTAAGAGGGAAACTATTTTTAAACAACTGCACAACTGTTTTTTTAGGTGCATTAACTGTTCTTTTTTAATTGCTTGGAAGAAAAATAGCTAAAGACTGTGGCAAAAGTACAAAGACAGTTGTTATCCTGTTTTCATTTTGACATATTAAATGGAAAATAAATAAAACCTCTTGCCAAGTGAATTCAAGGAGGCTTTTATACGGCTTCTCTAGGAAAGGTAATGAAATGTTTATGTGAAAGAAAGCATTTCAGCTAGTTTTCTGGATGGTAATTGAGACACTAGCTTAATGCCCATGCCGATCCTTTCCTTCATTTTTTTGTTTGTTTTTTCCGTTTTTGTTTATTTGTTTCTTTATTTGTGGTTTCCAAAGGGCCTCCATCTGCACCACAGAACCTCATTTTCAACATCAACCAAACCACAGTAAGTTTGGAATGGAGTCCTCCCGCGGACAATGGGGGAAGGAACGATGTGACCTACAGAATATTGTGTAAGCGGTGCAGTTGGGAGCAGGGCGAGTGTGTTCCCTGTGGGAGTAACATCGGATACATGCCTCAGCAGACTGGATTGGAGGATAACTATGTCACTGTCATGGACCTGCTGGCCCACGCTAATTACACTTTTGAAGTTGAAGCTGTAAATGGAGTTTCTGACTTAAGCCGATCCCAGAGGCTCTTTGCGGCTGTCAGTATCACCACTGGTCAAGCAGGTATGTTTCTGTATTTGTCTTCACTAAGTGATAATGTGACTACATAAGTGAGTTGTCTCGCTTGAGTCTTTAGTTAACTTGGCTCCACAGAACTTGATTATTCCAGCTTGTTGATTATTCACACCTTTAACTTTTCTTTGTTATTTCTCCTGTTGCCTGTTAAACCATCACTAGACTCATTAACATCTCCAGAGATCTGGCAGGAGAAGTAAAAAGGGATAAATTGTAAACCAGTTAAAACTGCTCTAAGACGGGCGACTCTGTTGAAAGATGTAGAAGAGGAGAGTGACAATATTGGACAAAATGAGACGTAGGATATTTCTTGTATTTTTACCTTTTTGTGTGGTCTGTGCTCATAATCAACATCTACACAATTAGGAATAATGAAAGAGTTGGCTGCACTGTCTCACACAGTGTTAACTAATTTTTTACCACATAGAATGTGCTATTAGTAATATACAGTAATTCTGCATTAAAATTTGCACGAGGGAATTTTAAATTCATCGGTGTATTTGTGATCCTCTTAATGTCCATAATATTGGAATAAGTACTTGGGGGATCTCATGAGGATTTCAAAAGAAATGAATTAAGAAATAGAATAATTATGATGATGGTGAACTTGCAGCTTAGCCTAAAAGCAGTTTTCACTCATTTCCTTACTGGCATTTGAGATGCCCTCTTCAGTCCTGCTTTGCCGTGGTGAGTATGTTTTGGAAAATACAAATTGGGAAAGAAGTTCCAGTAGTTGGAGACTTTCTAAACCTTCAGAAAAATCTTATTACTGAAGGAAGTTTCAGAAATTGAGGGCTTTTTCAGCCTTTTGAAAATTTTTGCTGCTGAAGGAAGATGCTATTTAGTAGATGCAGCCAAGAGCTATGTCATCGTCATTAATAAAATTGGACCTGCACTGGGTAGTGAGTTGTGTGAGCATCATAATAAGCTTATAACAAGGTCTTCTCGATCTTTGGCTGGCTGTCAAAAACCAGTATTATCCCAAATTCCTATACGTAGACTAATCTATTCTTCATTTCTGTGCCAATTTGAACAAAATGTTACCTATTTAAATTATATCTGCAGATTGAAAACTATGCATATGGTCTCATGCTTACCATTTTGTACAGATTAGTGGGTTCTTAAGTTTCATTCTGATGTTTATTTAAAAGGCTATTGCATATCAGATCTCCTGTTTAAAGTAGAAGTCTGGAGGTGAAACAACATAGAAACTTTTAAATCTTCAAAAATTGGACAAAAGAAATAACTAATTTAAGTGATAATTGGATTGATTCATTTTATTTACCCTTACCCTACTTGCTGTTCTTTTAAAATGCTGTTGTCATTAGATGTTTTTACTCGTGTTGCTTTATATTGAAATTTGTCATCATAACTTTACAGTGAGCGGGTTTGAAACATTTTAGGTTCATGATTGTGACACTAGAGCTATCTTTGGAACCATTAATGGAATGAGCTAGAATAAGTGCTTTATTCCTGCTGATATCAAGTATAAGAAGGGACATTTTACTTATTTTTGAATACGACCTAAAGATGCTGAACTGATACCACAAATCGAGTTTGCTAAAAAAACACTTTTGAGACTTGTTTTCATGTTCTTTAAATGTCTGTTTAATTTTTCAAGTTAATACTACATGGGCTAAACAATCATAAATTTTCCATATATTCTTGAATCAAATATCTCACAGTAGTTAGGTAAAACGGCTTTGGGCATTGATTCTCTTCTGATTAAGAGAAAACTAGCTTTGTTTGTTTTTGTGTGGGGGGGGTAATTTAAATATGCAAAAATTAGATGGGGATGGTTTTATAAGTCTGTAAATATACAAAAAAAATTTTGAATTGTGTACTTAAAATGAGTGAATTTTGTGGTATGGAAATTATACCTCAATAAAGCTATTAAAATTTTAAAAAGAATAAATATAATAAAGTTAAAAATCAGACTTGGTTTGCAGTTTTATATTAAAATATTAATTCACTATTGTTTAGTCTCTACTGCATTTCAAATGCTAAAAACTCATGAATTTTCCCTGTTAGCTTTTTCTACTTTCAAAAAGAAATGCGTTTAAATAAGGCAGCAAGCCGTGGTAATTTTAAAAGTTTTAATTTATTTTTTAATACAGGAAATTTAGAATATGTTAGTGACTACTGCTCTATTGAATTTGTATACCCATCTTCCCCCACCGTCACCAAAATTCTTGCTCTTTCTAAAAGGGGAATGATTTGAAACTTTGTACTTGGTTATGACTATCCACGGAAACCTGCAATGATCCATGAAATTCTCATTCTCCATTAACCAAACAGCACCACCTCCCACCTAGTTGATGCCACAGTCACTTCAATAATGAATTTAAATCTGGATCTCTGGTCAGTTATGCCCTCATCAGCAATCTACTGATGCCTAGTATAAAAAGATTTATTAAGAAAAAATGTATGTGTCTGGCCAAGAAGAGAGAGTAAGGATGGAGAATAATCAGCTAGTGTTTGGAAGGTAGTGTGTGCACTTTGTAGTTCCTTTTCTATTAAGTCTGGAGTCTGGAGCTCAAGAGCCCCCATATCAGTGTTTGTGGAAATGGAAGTATATTGAAGACCCCTTGTCCTTTGCTCAGGGTAGGAGCAGGATTATTGGTGTTAAAGGACCTGTGCTCCACCCCTGCTCAGCCACTTCTGAAGTATGTCTTCTTGGGTGGATCACTAAAGTTCAACATGACTAAAATGGGGATAATATAATATCTGCCTTCCTGTATTACCTTGTTAAATGAGACAATATTAGAGAAAACTTAAAAACTCTATGTTGTCATAAAAATGTTATTGCAGTGAGAAGCAAAATGAATGCTGATTAGTCCTCTTTTTATGTAACTCTTTGTGAACCTGTCAAGGCAAAACCCACTAAACTCTTTATCTGTTGCAATGTGGGGGGAAACAGTAGCGGCCCCGAATTGGCAGTTGTCTGTTATGACATTGGGGGAGGGAGAAATTAATTTTGTTTGGCCTGTGTAAAATGTGACTATTAACTAGTCACAAGTTATCTTAAGGCTGAGGTTCTTATTTTAACCGATAATTACCTTTAAGATGAGAAGTATAGAGAGAAGCATAATATGTGATATTCATATTTAGATAGTTTTTGTATTTACTTATCAGGAACATATGATCTATACAAGCTGGCTGAAACATATTCTTTTTGTTATTGTTTTGTTTTGTTAGGAATGATATTGATCTGTTAGGAGTGAAGTTATACAAATCAAACCTATGTACATTGGAGATATTTAAAAAATATATAAGTAAAGGGGAAAGCATATGCATTGATTTATGGCATTAGGATAGCATTCTTCCTTACACTGGAAGGCTCTCTTGAACAAATATGGTCTTAATAATTATTTAAGTATTCTTAAGACTTGACTATTTAAATGCTACTTTTTTATATTAATTCAACCAACTGTACTGAGTAGTGTGTGTCAAGCACTGTGGAGGCTGCTAAGGATAGGAAGGTGAAGACTGTTCATCTCCTTGTGAGGAGCCCATATTGTAGCAGATAATATATTTAGTTACACAAGTAATGATAGAGTACCTGAATATACGTGATGCATGCTACAGAACAACCTTAGGAACAAAATACAGAAACCCCAAAGAAGGAATGATTCATTCTATCTGTGGAAGAAAAGGGAATCCTCACAGAAAAGATCCCAGTCAATCTAGAACTTCAGAATAGATATAGTTTTACCAGAAGGAGGACATGTAAGTCATCCTCTAAGCCCTCAAGAGGACCTCCCGCCATTAAAACATTGCAATTGCCACTACATTCCTTCCACAGACCAAGTACATAACACAAAAATGGTCTACAGAAATATGAAAGTTGATAAAACAGGTCACCCAAAAATTACTGTCTCTTTCTGTAATACCTTCATTCACTGTGGGATCATTTAAACAATTAAAGAATTTTTAACTTTGTTAGAAAAAACAATACAAAATTATAATATGTGGTCTTTCCCCCAAAGAGACTTAAGGGACTTAGCAATTATTCTTCAGGTCCGTAATTATGTTGTGTTTATTTGTGTCTCTACCATCTAACGCAGTTCTTTCTGCATACTGGCTGTACGACAAGTATTGTTCAATTAATTCCGGTGAGGAAACTAGTCATACACAAGAAAAGTTAAATGATTATACAAGAATGAAAACATTGAGACATTAATGGAAAAAGCATAGGATTTGCTATTTTGTTCTTGGTGCCATGGAGTCAATTCCGACTCCTGGTGACCCTGTGTCTAGCAGAGTGGAACCCTGCCCAGTCTTTTTGCACCGTCCTGTCACCTTCTCGCACTGTATCAGACAATGCTCCGCTGCTATTCATAGGGTTTTCAATGGCCAGTTTTTTCGGAAGTGGGTGGCCAGCTCCTTCTTCCCAGTCTGTCTTAGTCTGGAAGCTCTGCTGAAACCTGTCCACCATGGGTGACCCTGCTGGTATTTGAAATACCGGTGACATAGTTCAGCTTCACAGCAACATGCAGCCTCCACAGTGTGACAACCGACAGATGGGTGGTGTGGTTCCCTGACCAAGAAACAAACCCAGGCAGCGGCAGTGAGAGCACTGAATCTTAACCACTAGACCTCCAGGATTTGATATTAGATGACTTAGTTACTTAATTTAAGACAAGTTATTTCACCTCTTTGAACTTGCATTTTCTCCTGAAATAGTATCATGCTGCTTGACTCCTCATATTATAAAAACTGAGCTTTTAGCTTAATACCAGTTGCGTTTATTAGAATAAAAAAAAGAGTATGTTATAGTACAATTATAATAATAACAGTGATAATAAGCATTACTGAACACTTACTATGTTTCTGGTACTTTTTAAATGTAAAATGTACAATGAAAAGAGTGTCAAAATTGAGTCACTTAACTTATTTGGACTCATTTAGTCCTTCTAAGTAATGAAGAGGTTTGGGACAGCAGACCTCTAAGAGCTCATCTTATGTCCATAATTAAATGGACAAAG